ATCCAATTCTTTCCTTTAAATATTTATGTTCAATAGTGTCCAATAGAAAGGGTCGTTGGAAAGATCTGTTTCTAATCAGCAATCACGAACGAATCGATCTGGGGTGGCCACAATTGTTATCTCATTTATTAGATGTTGTATCCTGAAATAAAAGTAAAGCCTTTATACAACAACCCAAATATAAGATTAACGAAAACAAAGAAACTCTCTTTCTTACGACGCCAGGGAACATATGAAATTTTGTGATTGGATATAGCTGAAATGCAAAACATCATAACTTGGACCTAGTCAGTGATCCCCTCTGTAAACAAAAAATCAATAAATTCACTTTTTATTTATTCTCTAAAATAGACACATTTAAGATAAGCATTGAATTTTTTAGACTTTAAAGACCATTAAACAATTGAGAACCCATTTTCCCTTTGTTATCACTGCCATTTGCTGCCTGTTTTCTATCTTATTGTTCTAACTTGAAACATGCAGAGTATTCACATTTGTTTCATAATCAACGAATTTATATTTGTGACAGATAGTTTTGAGTTCAAAATTTTGATTTTTCTTAAATAGTCCAGTATGTTGCCCATTTGTCAGTTTAAATTACAGATTCTTGAGGTAATAACCCATCAATTATAGTTAAAAGTGTCTATGTTGTTTGACCTAGAATGATTTTAGTATATAAACATGCATACGCTAAACTTGTCGCGAAAATTACAAATGTTCAGGTCTGCTGTATTTGTGCGCGCCCTCTGTGCGCGTTTATTTTATGATTTTACATAGTTTCGAAATATCGAATAATAACTCCGAATCCTTCTAATCTGACTTTATTTCTTTCAAAATAGATTCACATTCTGATTGACAATTCATTTTTTAATTTTAAAATTCTGTCTTCACTCAATTTAAGAAATTTATTTATTTTCACAACCAACACTCTTTGTTATAGATGAAATATCACAGTAAGAGGATTTTCAACACATTATTAGCTTCCAAAAACTTCAATAGTATACTTTTCATTGTTTGATAGTCAAGGCATATGTAATTCAAACATAGCCAGCAATAGCCTATTTTAATGTAATGACGAAGAACAGAAACAATGTCTCTTCCATGCTTAAAAAATCCATTAAAAAAAATTCTACACATTATTCAAAAATCTCTTCTGAAGAGTTCATCTAATCTGGTAAGATTCCTCAATACAAGAACAAATTAAGCTTAAAATTATGAATACACTAAAAAGGGAGAAAACAACAAGAATCAAAGATCCTGATTAAACCACAAGAGACCGGTTTTACTTTAAGTTTGTCTACACGACAGGCCAATCAAAATTAAATATCAACTGGAGATAGAAAAACTGAGACCAACTCATAAGGAAATCGGAAAAGAGACAAAAAAATGAGAGATATCTCCACAAAAACTGTAAATCTGACAAAAATTCGAAGTGCTGTTGATGGTGATAGATACAGTGCTATTAATCGAGCTATCAAAGACAACAGAACGAAACGGGGTGTTACAAACATCCTAAGACGATTCATCCCAACGCAAGAGGCCATAAATCGACTCAGAAATTCAAGAAACTTAAAAGACAGATTTATCGCCAATAAAAGGTTTCTTGAACTCCGACGAAAAAAAGATGGACATATGGCAAATTGCATCTTTAGCGACATACGAAGCAAAACAACTATTGTTCAATACCTCAGTCACCACATAACTGTGGTATCACAAGTCGTTTATCTTGAGGATCACATGATCATTGTATGCAAACAGACGTTCGCAAAAATTGAGAGAAAAATCGTATTCTCGCGAGAGAAACAGACAACCCACTCCCATAAACTTCTCCTAACAGCACAACACAATCGAACATCAATTTCAGACAAGAATGCACAAAACACTCCGAATATATATACATATATAAACGAGCAGTTCAAACTAAAAAACTCAAAAAGCAGGTATCAACTTCTTTAGTAAGCGACACAAATTTGACAGAGTCAGATAAATAGAATGAAAAAATAATCTACAAGACACCAGGTCTAGTGAAATCAACTAACAGAGACTGAATTTACAGTAGTCAAAGTGCTTGATCGCCTGGAATTATTTACTGCAGTTTCCTAAAACAAAACAAAACAAAGCGATCCTCAACTTTTATACTTTTACTATTGCATCAGTAGATAGAACATTTGAAATGGAAATCTCAGAATCCGAAGACACCACGCACTACACATCGAACAATCTAACAAAAGGCCAGACAATAAATTTTATTATAAGAACTTTTATTGAAAATATAAGAAAAATAGCAGACAAACAACTTGTATTTTCCATATAAAGGACATCAAGCATTTAATAAAGACAATAACAGACTAATGAATAATTAAACATAAATACCGTATATCAGATGACCTTGCAAAAGACACATTAATAGAACTTAACCTTCTTGAAAGGAAAAAATATTCAAAAAACCAATGGGAGGTACAACACTTTTATCTTCTTCAAGCGAAAAAAACGGAAATATTAAGATTTAAAGTGCCTTACAAAGTTGAACAAATAACAGCAGACACCTCATTTCCGGCCCCTGATATGGACGAAACTCTCACTAATCTAGAAGGATTAAAAGTATTTTCGACAATTTACTTCAATAAAGGATTTAACAAAATTGAAGTTGACAAAAAGATGTTGAAAAAGTCGATTCATTTTTCATGAACAACACTATTAGTTTTAAGTATCTTCATGAGACTTTATACATTACAAAACGTTTAAAAGAGCAGTCATAAAAATATTTGAAGGAATGGCATTTGTAAATGTTTTCTTAGATGACGAGCGTATCTTTTCTAGATGTATTGAGGAACATTCCGAGTACATACTAGCTGTAATGAATTCTCTCAGTGGGAAACGCCGAACCTTAAACATTTTGAAGTCTCAGTTTTTCTTAGATAAACTTATATATCTTGGTTGAACTATAGAAAAATCCGGCACAACTCTAAATTTTGAGGCTTCAAAAGCAGATTAATTTTTTAAATCAAATAAAAAAAACTTGTGTGTATAAAATAATTGGCACAACGAACTGTTTTCACCCATTCATAACAAACCTCAAACAAAGCATGAAAAAACAGAAAAGCTTATGTCATAGCCACAACTCCATCGCCAGCTCTGACCACTGACCAAAAGAATTTATTTGACGAAAAAAGTACTCCTTACATTACGAAAAATTTGTCTTCAGAAATTTCATACGTAGAAATGTTCCTTAAAACCGGTGAAATTCCCGGTTACACGACAATTTGAATTCAAAGCAAGGAACAATAATCAATAAACACAAAAAAGAAAATATTTTTTCAGTATCGGCAACACCAATACAAGAAAACGTAACGATGAAATTTATTTACACCTCAAAACTCACAAAAAAACAATACCTAGTCAAAATTGATCACTTGAGCAAAAACTGTAAAAACATCATGACCTGGATCAAGAAAGACAAAGAACTGTTTTTTAAAACTCAAGGGGTGGTCAACCGAACAAAAATATGAAATTCTGGCAATGGCACTGGACACTTCACTTTTACCAGAATTGTCTGATACACGTGTTGTAAAAGATTTGTTGCAAAAAATAGAAAAACTTTTCATTCCACCCCATGAAATACATAACATTACAAAAGAAATAAAGAACATTAGACAAAACAATTTTGATCGTATGCAAGAATATCACGATGCCCTTTCAGAAAAGATAAACATGTTACAAATTGCAACCCAAGCTACAAATGAAGCCAGAACGACACTATTTGACACGTCATTTTCTACACAACTGGGAAATCACACCTCATTTTACTTAGATGACAAACGAATCTATGAAATATCAGACATGATGACATAAATACAACGAAAAAAGGACATTATTTTATCAAGAATAACCACAGTAAAACAAAACACACAGTTTATGACAACTATAAACAAGACTTCTGATTCTCAAAAATCTCACAAAGAAAAATACACTCTGCACCCTGATGGACTTAACAAAAATTCAGAATGTATAACACAAAAATAATTGAACGAAATGAAGTACTACTCGGCAACTGTTGAAATGCGCTAGTTTGCTAAAGGGTTACAACATTTCTTATCGCAATTCTGGTATAAAAGGATGAGCCCCTTGAACCCTTCAATAAATTACTAGTTAATATGGATTTGTCTTTGGAAAAAAGCAAAAAGCTCAACAGCAACAAAACAAATCTGCAGATAATACAGAAATCAGCAGAATAAAACCGACAGTCTCATCGATTAACGCCAAAAAAAACAAAAAACATGCGCAATCTACTACATTAGATTGGAAAAATTAGAACCAATTATTGATGTAAAAGTCGAAAACAGAACATACAAAGCGCTTCTAGATTCCGGGTCACGAATAAACTTGATCAATCACAACATTTTAACAAACAAAAAACACACAACAATGTCAGAAACAAACATCAAAGTAACAGCTGCAGGAGGACAGGTAATAACACCAGGAGGCATAATACAATTAGAAATAGGTATTGCAAAATCTTCAAAAACAAAAAAAAATACAGAATTTTTAGTGGTAACTAATCTTACACATCCAATCATCTTAGGATGCGGGTTTCTTTAAGAAAGAGAAACAGTGCTCATTTTAATAATGGAACAATCGCCATAGCCGACACAATTCAAAAAATGAAACAACATTAAAGAGAAAAAACAACATACAATACGCAAACAAACACAAATTTTGAAGCACCTAACAAACAAATCAAAGCACAATACATAGTAGAAATATTACAAATTGCAAAAAATCAAACAAAAATAGGTCATATAAAGGAAATTGAACATAAAATACGGACAAAAACAAACGAACCAATAATACTTAATTTCTATCGAATTCCAGGCGACCTAGCAGCAGATACCATTAAAGAATTTAACTTGCTTGAGTGACAAAATATAATTAGGAAAGGAACAGGCCAATGGGCAACACCTGCACGTTCTAAAAGAAAGGAAAACCGCGACATTCGCATTTTGAATGATTACAGAAAATTAAATAAAATAACAGAAAACGATCCATTTCCCTCACTAATAATGGATGAAATGCTAAATAACCTCGAAGGATCAATAATTTTTTCCACAATTGACTTCAACAAAGGCCACTATAAAATAGAAATAGACAAAAAAGACATTGAAAAAACTGGGTTTACCATCGTTGAAAGACCCTATGAGTTTTTAGATTATCAATGGGACTAAGTACAACCCAAAAAACATTTCAACGTGCTGCAATGGAAATTCTTGAAGGCCTCCGTTCCGTTAAAGTATTTCTAGACGACATTTTGATTTTTTTAAAAGTGTAGGAGAACACGCAAAGGATGTAATCTAATCAATTACAAGATTGAGAGAGCGTGGTTGATTCAATCAAATAAAATACCATTTTTCTAAACAAAATATCATATCTTGGCAGAACAATCAACAAAAGAGGAATAAAACCAAACACAGATGCCCTTAAAAAGCTCATTTCATTCAAAAAAAACAAAACGGACATTCAAAAAATTGTAGGAACATTAGGCTGGTCAAGACCATTCATTCAAAATATATCAAAAAAATTAAAGAATTACTGATAAACAGGAAAAAGGGGGTTTTGAATGGAAACAAGAAGACAATAAAATACTTACAGATATTGTTGAAGAAATAAGAAAAACACCAACACTGCATCACCTCAACAAACGAGATGCATTAACATAAGAAACCGACGCAAGGAATGTTTGAATTGGAGCTTGCTTAAAGCAATTGGAGCAAGTGTTGGCCTCTACAGCGGAAAGTTCACAGACACACAAAAAAGATATTCAATTGTTGAAAAAAAACTACTTGCAATAATACAAGCCTTGAGAAATTTCAAATATATAATTGGCGCACAAAGAGTAAATATTTTTACGGATAATCAAAATATTGTTATGAACATGAAACCAACATCTGACAGAGCCTTTAGGATGGTATTAGAAATGCCAGAATACAATTACACATTACAACACATAAGAGACACAGACAACGTCATTGCATACACTTTATAACGAAATGGTAAAAAAATAAGCTCAGAAAGAAAACAAAGCATTTTCACGACTGAATTTCTACAGAATGAAACAAAGACCAGCATTCCAAAGGACTAAAATTAGAAAATACAGTTACTAGGAGAAAATGCCGAAAAATTCATTGAATCAGCACACGTCCTTCTTGCACACCTTGGAATCAATAAAATACACAAGAAATTAACACAAACATTAAAAGTACTAAATATAAGACAAAAAAATATCAAAAATAACTGAAACATGTAAAGAATTCCAAAGACATAAAACATTTCAGTATGGTAGACTAGGCGAAATTCAAGGACAGCAACATCACAATATTTCACGGGAAAGAATAGCAGTTCACATTTTCGGACCATGTGACACAAAATATTTCCAAACAACCAGACAAAAGAAAAAGCCTACGTCCTTATAATTATCGATCTCTGCACACGTCTAGTGGAACAACAACCCATTTGGACAATCAGTTCGAACAAAATCATCACTGCAATAAGAAAAGAATGGATTGAAAAATACAAATGTCCAAAAAAGATAATAAGCGATAATGGCACGCAATTCACGAGTGAGGGAATTTGATAACTTAAACAAAAAATACGAAATAGAGCACAAACGCATTTCTGCCTATAATTCAACAGCAAATGGCACCTGTGAACGTGTAAATACAACAATTGCATAAACATTTAGAATACACCATACAAGCAATCCTAAGACTTGCCAAACACAATTAAAACCACTGTTTCCATTCATGCATTGTCACAACGCTATACATACTCTCATTTCAGCATTGATCCGAGAACACCAACTCGAAATCACCTGGAACAAGCACTACAAAAACAAAACGAGCGAAACAAAAAAAACATAAAAAAATGAACAAAGTAAGAAGTGCTTACACATATCAACAAGGACAACAAGTTTACTTAGCAACACATCCAAATAGCAAATTTGAACCAAAATTTTTTTGTTCCTATAGAATATCAGAACACTGCCAAACCACCAACCGGGTAAAAATTCTAAAGATTGAAAACAAGAAATCATTAATATCAAAAACATTCGACCGGTGGAGGGGCTGTGTGTCATAGCCACAACAGCATCGTCAGCTCTGACCACCGACCCAAAGAATCTAATCGATGAATAAAGTACCCCTTACCAAATGCAAAATTTTTCTTCGGAACTTTTATACGTTGAAATGTTCTTCAAAACTGATAAAATTTTCCGGTGGTTGATAGGCCTTTTAGACTTCCTATTTTTTGGGGTAGGGTTTTTTTCATTTTTTTACCCTTGAAAACGGAGTTTGAAAGGATAAAAAAAATCGTCGAAAGTAAAAAGACACAAAAATAATAAAAAACAGAAAGAAAAAGTGACTATTTAATGCAAAATCTCTGTGATAAAGTTGATTATATCATCATTTCTCTTTTTCATGGCTATAAAGAGACCAAGCCAAATATTTTTTGAATTTTTCGACTTATTTAGCAGAATTTTTTTGTGAGGTGACCAATTACCTTCTATGTTGTTTGTATGGACGCCTGTATCTGGATCATCAAAATGTTTGCTGTGATTTACTGTTTTATGATCTCGAAAATGATTCTTCAAGTCATTATATCCTCTCCATTTATCAGTATAAATAAATGATTGAGGATGTAAATATTTTTTTATTATTGCAGTTAATGTTTCTGAGTCTCTCTTTTAACAGGTATTAGGATAATTCTTGTTTTTTCTGTCATTTTGACGATTCCTAATGCCCATTGTCCTTCTACTCGATGTCCTTGATTATTTTTTCTTTACCAAACTCGGATTCATCGATTTCGACTATTACGTCATCACCTCGTATCATTTCAATATTATTTAAAAAACTTTTTTTTGCGTTTATTTTTATTTTTTTTAAAAAATTAATTAGATTTTGATATTTATAATTTAATTATTCTGAGAGTCCTCTTAGAGGCATGTATCCAAAAATCCCTTTATTTTGGAAAATGAAAAATTCAAAGTTTTTTTTTAAATTTATCTAAAATTGTATTTTTGTATAAACCTTTTGTAGATGAACAAAGTTTTCAAGTACAAATAAAAATATTTCACATTTTTGTCTTTATTCTTGTCTTATTACCACAATTATCACATTTTTTTGTTCAAAATAAGACAAAATCGCGTATTTTTGCCTTAATTTGGTCATGATTAAGGTTTAACATTAAAAACAGGGGTAAAAAATGAAAAAAACCCTAACCCCAAAAATAGGCAGTTTTAAGGGGGTAACCCTCCTTTCCCGGTTACAGGACAATATCAGAATCAAATATGTTTTTCACTGCTTACCATGAATCATTCTTTCTCTAATCTCAATTCTAATTCTCGTTTCAATATATCTAACAATAGGAATTTACCGTTACAAAAAAAATCTTTATATTTGTCAGTCTTTAAATTTGAATATAAATCCGAACGAATATGTCAATTTGAGCTCAAATGACCGAAAAAACAAAATCGAGGAAGAAATCGATAATTTAGTCTGTCCTTCAGCCACCACCATCAAACCACTAGAAAAAGCCACCATTAAACTCAAGATTCTTAAAGTCAATACCGAAATCACCAAAAAGATTTACATCCTCGAGTCACTTGACCAAAATTTTTTCAAGTTCAAGCGCAGATTTGACAGTCTCATGAAAGTTCACTCATGGGATAATAAAACTGCAATCTCCTATTTCGAATACTGTTTCTCTCCCGATTTACATGACAAACTGATGGAATACGAAACCATCGAGGAGGCCTTTCAAGCATTGGCGACTCTGAAATATAACGAAACAATTTATTATACATTCTGCACATATCTCAATACAATTCAACTTAGAAATTACAGCTTGGTTTCTGAATACGAACATGCCATCACAGAAACTTTGAATCGTATGCAAATTTTTAGGCCACTCAATGCAGTGAATTACGAAGAACGGATTACACAGGCTTTCTTTTGTGGAATACCAGACAAATTAAAGGTAGAATTTTCAATGCATAATTCGATGGATACAAAGGGAAACATCGAATCGCTCAAACGGGCAGGGGCGCAAATTCTGTCTAACTTGACCAAAAGAATCAGCATACAACCAAAACAAATTAATTCAACATCTTCTAATTACGCAATAACTACAGATCGCATAAAAATCAACGAAATAAATACTGCAAATATCACAAAACTTCAGCACATGATTACAAAGAATGTTTTTTCCTGAATAACAAACGTGATAAGGCCTTTTCATTTCAAAATGGTAATAATAATCAATTAAGAAAATATGATAATAATGCTAAGTCTGACCATTCAAATGCAGTGAAGAAAATAAACGACAATCCGATGTATTTTAGGACTTCTTTGAATGGATGTCAAGCTGATATTTTGCTAGATACCGGCTCTACAAAATCCTTTATTTCTGCTGATTTTGTAAAAACGGCAAAATGTCAACAAATTGAAACTGACATCTTTTCTATTACATTAGCTGATAATTCTGAACGTCAGATCAACTCTAAGGTCAAAGCATCTTTTCAGACGCTAAAGGGGGAAATCCTTAAAACAGTTGAACTGTACACTTTTTCAACATCTAATTATGATATTATACTCGGCTCTGATTTTTTAGAAAATAATGGGATTATAATCGATTTTGAGCGTAAGCTTGCTGTGATAGAAAATGAAATTATCAACAGTGATAATGGTATGACTGGCAAACGTCATTATCAGCTGAAACCTCTACAGCGGCACTTGATAACCTTATTGATAATTATAGATCTAAAATTGATCATTCAAAGCCAATTGATGGCGTTACATTTCCAATTCCTCTTGATGAGGAAAAAATAGTTTCAAAAAATGCTATGCTATTCCACTCCAATTTCGTGAAAAATTAAAATCACACATACAAGAACTCATCCTAAATGAGATAATAAAACCTGCCAGCTACGTATACGCCACGCCGACACTTGTCATTGTCAAGCTAAACAAAGATATTAGATTGGTCAACGATAATCGTGACCTGAACAAAATTTCTACTACTTTCGAATATTTCTTTCCTTCTATTACTGTAACCTTTACCGAAATACAAGGCAGCAGTGTGTTCAGCCAAATCGATCTTGAAAAGGGGTTCACCAAATTGCAATTGAACCTGCTGACAGATACCAAACTGCTTTCACTTGGCCATTTGAGAA